AACCCCAGCAAAAATGAGCCAATCAATGAGCATGCTCTGGAGTGCGGGTAACAAATACCCGCACTCCAGTTAACGCACTGTGCATGTATATGTATACGATTTAACCCAGACACATTTTCAACAGAAAGGTCTCCAAACTATGATACAATAATGTATTTGTCCCTTTATCTGATGACATTACATTGAGTTTATGGACTTTTGTACAATTCAAGAGCTTGCTGTAAATTCAACCTCGTTTTCTAACAATGTCAACATTTTTATGTGAACGCCTATATGAGTGGTGATTAGGCGTCCTTGACAAATTTCTAAAATAGTTTAATGATAGTCTGCAGATGATTTTTTCTTTATGTATCAATAAAAAAGATATGAAAATATATTTTCAGTGACTGCTTTGAATATATTATTGGCCAGTAAATTGAACACAGTACTAATAAACCTATGACAAAGTATAAAATGTATAGTATTTCCCAGAAGAAACTGAATCTCTATGCCTTGCATAGATGAATATTCATGATAATAGAAGTCAAGAAAGTCAGATTATATTGATCGAGTAATGCCTTTTATTTCTATTAAATTGGTTGGACAAAAATATATAATATCCACTTCTTATTTGTACATCGTAACGTCTGTCAGGAGCTCAGTTTTTCGTTATTTTAATTTATTTTTAACGGAAATCCGTACGTGAGTACACAGGCAGAGTGACACTGGTATAGTATAATAAAAATCATTATGATGATGCTAATAATAATAAACTTCAAAAGTGAAACAATTAGATAACCCCGCTAACGGTTTGCGTTCCATCCCCCCACCGAGTGCTTCAAATTTTACCGATAGTCGCGTGACATGTGATGTGCGACAGATACCAGACGGACAGTCAATCACGTTAAGTTTTGAAGAAATTTCATGATATCAATGATATCAATCAGCAGCCTTTTAATTGATCAGATGTCACTGGGTCATAAAAAGTTGTAAGAGTATATAACCGCAACCTGTGACACCCTTTAGTGCGATCTTTTTCTGTTATGCAATAATTTAGCATAAAACGTAGGGGTCTGAGAGAGAGCAGCCAATTTTTTTTTGGAATCGGCATAACTGCTTTAACAATCAAGCAATTTACATGCGGTTTAAGCACATGAAAGCGAATTCATTAACTGAGGGAACCGTGTTAGGGATTTCGATTGCTCTATCGGCGACTTAATCATCTTTAATTACGTTATATGTATGGTGAAAAAAGTCGCATTAAATGTTTGAGGTTGAGAAAAGGTAGTAAAAATCATGACATGGTTCCCCAAGATATTACATTTATGTTTGTTTGATGACAAATAAATAAATCAAAGTGCTGAAGGCACTGCAGTTGGGACGTATGAAGGATCAAATAACTATTTTTTCTATTTCGGGGCAGATAATTCAATGAGTGAAGGGTGTTGCCGGTTGATAAATATAAAGTGCACAATTCAGTAAATGAACAGTAGATGATACAATTATTCTATGACACACATGTTAAATATAATATTTAGGTTACATGTACGTGTAGGTCCATCATAAACCGTTATTGGCCTTTTTTGACAAGAGCAACAAGTGAAATTAGAGCTACCAGAGGAAACTGCAAGCTTGACTATTTTAACACATGACATTATAAAGGGAGACAAAGCTATGAAAAAAATAATCAATTGTGATATATATCAAATTTTCTGTATCAGTATCAAGTAAACACTCAAATGGTCAATATTTTTTGCATCACATTATATGAATGTGAGCATGTCATTAGAACTTATAATGGCCTTTGTTTACTGCAATTCTCATGCTAATCTCTTTCACTGTATAACGTTTATTAAGTTTCAATCAAATTCCTTCAATATTTTAATCCTCTCTCTGAACAGTATCATGAAATATATACGGAGATAATTCAAAAAACTAAGTAATGAAGAATTTTGGTTATTTGACAAAAGACTTCTGCTCACTATATAGTCTCTACAACTGTATTTAGTTTGAGTGTGATATCATTGAAAAGATTTACTCCAGACAACCATTATTTTAAAAGTTGTTGTACATGTATTTTAAGAGATGATAATTGTAAAATTAAGCTAGAAACTAGAACTCCGCGAATCGGATGTGTCGCCCTTGTGAACAATGTAGTTTAGGAGAAATGGCCAGGACAAAAATGAAATATGAAAAATAACAAAGGGCAATAACTAAAAAAATAATAAGTGCAGAGCAGCAGTTTCTGAACACTGCACTTCTTATCAATAAGATCTATCATTCTATGATGGTTCAAGTCCATAGCTTTCATACTTGAGGAGAAATGACCAGGACAAAAATAAAGAAAGAAAATCAACAAAGGGCAATAACTCAAAAAATAAGAAATGCAGAGTACCAGTTCTTGTGCACTGCACTTCTTCTTAATGAGATCTATCATCCTATGAAGTTTCAAGTCCATAGCTTTTATACTTAAGGAGAAATGGCCCGGACAAAATTAAAGTATGAAAATAAACAAAGGGCAATAACTCAAAAAATAAGGTGTGCAGAGTAACAGTTCTTATGCACTGCACTTCTTCTTAATGAGACCTATCATCCTATGAAGTTTCAAGTCCATGGCTTTTATTCATTAGAAGAAATGGCCTGGACAAAAATAAAGTATGAAAATTAACAAAGGGCAATAACTCAAAAATTAGGAAGTACAGAGTACTGGTTCTTGTGCACTGCACTTCTTCTTAATGAGATCTATCATCCTATGAAGTATCAAGTCCATAGCTTTTTTAGTTGAAGAGAAATGGCACGGACAAAATTAAAGTATGAAAATTTACAAAGGGCAATAACTCAAAAAATAAGAACTGCAGAGTACCGGTCCTTGTGCACTGCACTTCGGGTTATTAAAAGAAGCATGCATACCAAGTTTGAAGTCAATCAGACTTTTAGTGACTGAGTTATGCTCCGGGACGCTGACAACGACACAGACGCCGCCGACAAAAGTAACCCCTATATGTCACCTTTTCAAGGCGACACAAAAATTAGGGTTATTTGAAAAAACACTTTCTTTCACTTGATTATTTTCGCTGTGTAAAAGTTTAATCAAATTTCATCAACTCTTTTCCAGTATTTCTCTGGACAAGCATAATTAAGTACATGTATAATAAAGGTAAATAATTAAATAAGAGGGCCATGATGGCTCTGAGGTTGCTCACCTGTATATACCCCCCCACCCTGCAGGGCCAGTTTTAACCCAAGGGCTTTTATTTGAACAAACTTGGAAGACATCCATAAGAAGATGATTCATGCTAAACATCAAAGCTCTAGCTTATTGGGTTTTTTTAAAGAAGATTTTTTAAGTATTTACTAACACATACTGTTAAAAACAATGACAACCCTGGAGCAGGGCCAGTTTTGACCCCAGGGCTTTTATTTGAACAAACTTTGTAGACACTCACTAGAAGATGTTTCAACTTATAATATAAACTCTAGCTATTTGGGTTCTTTAAAAAAGATTTTTGAAGTTTTTACTATATGCATATAGGGAAAATCAATGATCCCCTTGGGCAGGGCCAATTTTGACCTCGGGGCTTTTATTTGAACAAACTTGGTAGACACTCATTAGAAGATGTTCATGCTAAATATCTTAGCTCTAGCTCTTTGGGTTCTTTAAAAGAAGATTTTTTAAGTTTTTACTATTTGCATTTAAAGAAAATTAATGACCCCCCTGGGGCAGGACCAATTTTGACCCCAGGGCTTTTATTTTCACAATCTTTGTAAACACTCACTAGAAGATATTTCATGCTAAAATATCTTAGCTCTAGCTCTTTTAGTTCCTTAAAAGAAGATTTTTTTAAGTTTTTACTATATGAATTTAAAGAAAATTAATGACCCCCTGGGGCAGGACCAATTTTGACCCCACGATTTTTATTTGAACAAACTTGTTAAACACTCATTAGATGATGTTTCATGCTTAATATCTTAGCTCTAGCTCTTTGGGTTCTTTAAAAGAAGATTTTATAAAGTTTTTACTATATGCACATAGGGAAAATCAATGACCCCTGGGGCGGGGCCAATTTTGACCCAAGGGCTTTTATTTAAACAAACTTGGTAGACACTCACTAAAGGATGTTTCAAGCCAAATATCTAAGCTCTAGCTCTTAGGGTTTTTTTAAAGATGATATTTAAAGTTTTTTTCTTTCGGTTCCCATGGCAACCAGAGTTCAGCATGGAATTAAATTCTTTGCACAATTTTTAAAGGTGACAGCCAAAGGAACATTCTTGTGAAGTTTGGATGAAATTAGCTTAGTGGTTTATGAGGAGATGTCATTTAAAGTAAAAGTTTACGGCCGGACGAAAAGGGATCACAAAAGCTCGACCTGTCACTTTGTGACAGGTGAGCTATAAACTAAGGAATGGAGTTATGGTTCTTTGACACATTGGAAAATTTGAGTCGTTCAAGTTGATGTAGATTCAGTGATAGTTTGGAATAAGCATTTTTAACTTAAGGGATATAATTAAAACATGAAGCAAGGTAGAGTTATGTTTCTTGAACATTGCACTTCCTCTTAAAAGTCTCTATCACTTTGTGAAGTTTACATAAAATCCCTTCAATACATATCTAGTTATATTCATATTTCGGACAAGAGTGTGAAGGACAAATGTCTTCCTAAGTTCAGACTATGTTTTTTTTCCTTTATCAACTAAAATCTCAAAATCACCATTAAAAACATATTTTCCTCCCATGAGCAACCTTTTTCCCCAAAAGTACAAGTCTGTATGGAATGAACACAGATATTTATCCATAATATTACTTGAATCCATACCGACAGATGGTTAAGACCGCAACTTTATTCTCTCCCTTTCAGGAGCATAAATTATAATAACATGCTAAATCTCTGTATAGTTCTATATCAGATACCAGTATGATGAACCTTACTTTTGTACCATTTAAGTTATAGCAAAATTCAGCTTTCATTGACATACAGAAATGGGTCAGCCTTTAGACCCTCTTAATGAAAATATAAGGGGACTAATAACAACAATTTATTCTCATAGTTTCAATTCTCAGGTTTATTACTTATCATTACACCAGGCAAGCTAAGATACATGATAAAACCACAGGCACTATATACCACATTTACCCATATACGCTCATAATACTATATATAAAGAATAAAGGTCCCTAACGAGAGAAAAATATCATGCAAAACAAACAAGAACTGTTCAGTAAAAATACATCAGATCACTATTTTATTTTTGTGGTTGTCTCTAGGAATAATGTATCCTATCATAAACACTTTTTACTTCATCGAAATCCTACAAAATGCTCCAAAATACGAGCAAGTTTCCAAATTTCACTGAAATGTCATTGCATGTCGTTTTCGACGTCCAAGCGATGCGTGTAAACAAAGGTGAATTCTGGTCAATTTATACAAAATCAACGAATAACTGTTAAGATTTCGACATACTTTCTTTAAGGCAACTTGTATACAGTCAAACTGCGATGTCTTTACTTCACAACTGTCCGACGATAACGCTAACAAGCTAAAAAACTAAAAATAATTGACAGCTCCGTTCCATAAAGTAACCATTTCCTACATTACCGCACTGAATATAAGGTAAAGTAATGATTGGTTAAGCGGGAAATCCGAGTTTTAACATTTTCCTTCAACACAATGTTCAGACTAGCCCTCTAAATTACTCCAACTAGTCCAAAGTGTTAATGGTGCCTATACAGTTATGATCACTACATCTGGAAACTTGAGATTCCCACCGAGTGTGATGCTTATCTTCATTCGCTTGACAGTGACACATGTCCACCTTAAAAAAAAGCAATAAAAATTATATGAAGTGCAATAATTTGCAAAAAAATGCTTATCTTATTTGTCTCTTCTTACATTTATAATGCAGAGCACTAGATTTGTGTGTCTGTCATACAAAATGACTTTCAATAATACTATTTAAATATATTTGAAATACAATTTCTTTAATAAATACTCATAGTAATACTAAATTCCTTTTTTGTGATATTTTTTCTGACACATATGTGCAGACAGTACATTGTGTACACCGGTCTTACTGACCTGTGTGAAACCACTCTAAGCATGATGGAACGCACTACTTTTACATGGCGGCTTTAACACCGAAGTGATAGAACAAAACGGAAATCGGGTCACTTGAAAAATTAAACTTTTTCCATACTCTGTTGGTGTAATAGCCTTTACATCATTTTTACTCAAAACATGTGCAAAAACACTCCTTCTGACAATCCTTTATTGGTATTCGTTCAACACTCGTATTTCGTCAATTGTTAGTCTAAATTAAAACCGAAAGTGAAAGTAGTTTTGAATATTTGAATACATAGTAACACAGTGGAACTATCAAATTTGCACTTGCAATATTAAACTCTGAAAAACAATGAGCCCTTGAAAGCAATGAACAATATATTGTGTTTTATTAATAAAATTGTCATCCCTACGCAGACTTCTTTATGTCAGAGTTATTTTTACCCTCATTTGGGGTGAGTAATGCGTTGTGAGAGACTGGTGTGTATACAATTCAGACAGTATACAATTAATTTGTTTCGACGGCATACAATTTAAAGGTATAATTACTTATTGGCTACAAATAAAGTAAATAATGGTTAGTTTAATAACCAATCTGAATGTTTCAAAGATTATCCCTTCAAACTTTAAAAACAGTCTGTCAATTAAATAGATCTTAGCAATAAAGGCACACTAAGAAGAAAACTAGAAATGTGTCCATAGGACACGGGGATGCCCCCACAAGCCACTGTTCTATCAATCTTATGACTCTAGGTCAAATATTTTTTGGACTATACATGTGCCACAAGTTGAAAACTAAAATCAAACTAGAAATGTGTCCATAGGACACGGATGCCCCCACACGCCACTGTTCTGTCAATCTTATGACTGTAGGTCAAATATTGTTTGGACTACATGTGCCACAAGTTGAAAACTAAAAATCAACAAAGGGCCATAATTCTGTTAAATTTGGTCGCAACAAAAATTCCTTCCTTTACTACCATCTACACATTAAGGTTGTTAATCCCTGGAAGTTTAAGCAAAATCTGCCATCTGGTTTAAGAGGAGTTGCGTTCACAAAATTTCTACATAGTATATAATGAAAAAATCAACAAAGGGCCATAATTCTGTTAAATTTGGTTGCAGCAAAAATTCCTTCCTTTACTGCCATCTACACATTAAGGTTGTTCATCCCTGGAAGTTTAAGCAAAATCTGCCATCCGGTTTAAGAGGAGTTGCATTCACAAAATTTCTACATAGTATATAGTGAAAAAATCAACAAAGGGCCATAATTCCGTAAAATTTGGTCGCAGCAAAAATTCCTTCCTTTACTGCCATCTACACATTAAGGTTGTTCATCCCTGTAAGTTTAAGCAAAATCTGCCATCCGGTTTAAGCGGAGTTGCGTTCACAAAATTTCTACATAGTATATAGTGAAAAAATCAACAAAGGGCCATAATTCTGTTAAATTTGGTCGCAGCAAAAATTCCTTCCTTTACTACCATCTACACATTAAGGTTGTTCATCCCTGTAAGTTTAAGCAAAATCTGCCATCCGGTTTAAGAGGAGTTGCGTTCACAAAATTTCTACATAGTATATAGTGAAAAAATCAACAAAGGGCCATAATTCTGTTAAATTTGGTCGCAGCGAAAATTCCTTCCTTTACTACCATCTACACATTAAGGTTGTTCATCCCTGTAAGTTTAAGCAAAATCTGCCATCCGGTTTAAGAGGAGTTGCGTTCACAAGATTTCGGGACGTACGGACGGACGGACTGACGGACGGACGGACAAGTGCAACGCTATATGCTCCCACATTGTGGGGGCATAAAAAGGGCCATAATTCTCTATAATTTGGTCGCAGCAAAAAAATTCCTTCCTTTACTACCATCTACACATTAAGGTTGTTCATCCCTGGAAGTTTTAAGCAAAATCTGCCATCCGGTTTAAGAGGAGTTGCGTTCACAAAATTTCTACATAGTATATAATGAAAAAATCAAAAAAGGGCCATAATTCTGTTAAATTTGGTTGCAGTGAAAATTTCTTTCTTTACTACCATCTACACATTAAGGTTGTTCATCCCTGGAAGTTTAAGCAAAATCTGCCATCCGGTTTAAGAGGAGTTGCATTCACAAAATTTCTACATAGTATATAGTGAAAAAATCGACAAAGGGCCAAAATTCTGTAAAATTTGGTCGCAGCAAAAATTCTTTCCTTTACTACCATCTACACCTGAAGGTTGTTCATCCCTGTAAGTTTAAGCAAAATCTGCCATCCGGTTTAAGAGGAGTTGCGTCCACAAAATTTCTACATAGTATATAAGTGGAACTAGAAATGTGTCCATAGGACACGGATGCCCCCACACGCCACTGTTCTGTCAATCTTATGACTCTAGGTCAAATATTGTTTTCATTAATTTTTTTGGAAAACAGCTTGGTTTGTGAAATATACATTAAATATTATATAAGTACCTGTTGTTTGTAATAATCTTCTAGTCTTTCTTTAATCTTATACTGTACTTTTTTTCTAGCTACATGTACCAGCCTTTCCAAGTGAATATTAAAGTAAATGATCTTTTATTTCCCTGAAAATATGAATTTAGAGATTTCATTTTCAAATTCATCTAATACTACTCTCTTAGTGTGTGTATATACAATGTATATATGTGTCTATACAATGTATATATATGTTCACACAATAATATGATTGTGTACAGCATGTAATGACATAATTAAAATTTGAAAAATTTATGATAATAAAATATTAATAATATTTCTTCATATTACTCCACAGTATTACCACTAAAATAGAAAATGTTCTATCATTTTATTATGATATTTATTTTTTACATGTAGATTTGTGAAAAAAATGTGAATATCAGTAGTGTCAAAAATTGTTAAATCATATAAAAATAAAATGTCTAATTAACACTGATAAATTACTTCAACCATGTATTGAGAACAAGTATAGATCATTTCCAACAGTCTTGCTGTTGTGTTGACATTTTCGCGACATGGTTGTGTGTCTGCCTTGTAATCAAGAGGTCTGGGGTTCAAATCCCTTTAATTGCCTGAAGATTTTTCAGGTTAACAATTATCAAGGTGGCAGTGATTTTTTTTCAACTTTCAAAACAACCTGTGGCTGTATAAATGGGAAACTATAGCTTGATTAATGAGAAAAGAGGAAAAATTTCAACCACTGAAAATGGAATTTACCCATACATTTAAAAAAAGTGTAATTCAATTTAAAGGGGTTCCATTGAGGTATTTTGTCATGATGGGACTGAAATATTTTTTCCAGATAAATGTACCATTTGATGAATGTTTAGAACACTAATCTTTGTACAAACCTTTAGATCATTTGCGCACTTCGTTTTTCCAGAATAATTATTCAAATTGTAAAAAGATGACCCAAAATGAAATGGCTAGACTTTAAATAGATATATATTATAATTTATAAAGGTCAAAATAAAATTATTCTGAAATATTTAAGAATGTGCCCCATTTGGTAGAGACGTAACGGCCGTGACAATTAAGACAAAAAAAAATTGTAGGCGTATATGCCGGTTTTCCTGTAAAGGCAGACATCTGTGTAATATCAATTTGTAAAATCTGTCGATTTGCAGTCTAAGTATGGTCGAAATGTCTTGGGTACGAAAGACTCGAGATCTCCAAATTACTTCGAAATTCTTTACGAAAGTTTTAGTCCTCGGAAACAAATTGGCATCAATAAATAAACTTAATATTATTATTCATCAAATTCATAACATATTTTGCTTTATAACTTACCTTATGAGCTTAACAGGCTGATAATTATGCTCGTGAAGTAGGTCAAAAAATATACCGGAAGTTGTTGGATTCATTTAACCTAATTATCGGCTAATTCAGAGACGAATAGATTATCTACATCTCTGGCTAATTCTATTTCAATATCCACTTTGCAATTATAAACTACAAAATTTATCCGATAAATAATGTCTTTTTCAAAAATTTCTGGAATATAATACAAAAAAATGTGATGATAAGGCGGATGAGTAAGTTAAATATTGCAAGCCGTCAAGCACTATGACCCAATTAATTTACTATCCCATTCATAGAATTATGTGACCTTTCAAATTATATCCGCTACGTTTCTAATACCGTAATTCAAGCTCAATTGCACATTATTTTCAAAAAATAAATTTCTTGTCTCCTCTTCTGTTCGCAATAAATCGAAGTTTTCAGAAATTCAGAGCACTATTTTTCACTCGCGGCAGTTATGCGTCGGTCATGGTCGGGTGATCACTATGAATTCAGCTTACGTTGATATGTTAGAATACAATATAGCATATAGAGTGGCGATGAAACGTCACAGCAGTGGGCGTTACCCTGTATGGTTGGAAATTTCGGGTTTGTAAGTGCACTAGTTGGGACTACGTCCCAACTAAAAATGACTTTGATATGACGATTTAAAATTATAGATTTTTTTTGTTCAAAATCAGTTATTAAGAAAGGCATTTTTTTCAAATGTGTTATTTTTTTATAAAGATTAAAGACATTTTATGCATAAAATTTAAATAAATAACAATTATTAATTAAATAAGTTAAATAACCACTTTGAGATCTTTCACAAAATATAAAAATAATTTGTAAATAAAAGTTCAATATTTTAATTCAATAAACTCTAGAACTTTCTTGATATTCTTTTTTGTTTCAACGAAATATCATTTTGTTCGATATAATCTTGACAAGTCTAAAGACAATTCTTTTGTACCATTTGTTAAAAATGATACAGAAAGGATATATCAGTTATAAGAATTATCTTTTTAATCTAAGCTGTTTAAGAATATACCTTAGATTCGGACGCCCGGAGTTGTCCTGATAGTTCAATCACCTGCAAAAAATGATTAAGTAAAACTTGAATTATCGACATAGGTTTTGATATTAAAGCAAATAGAAGGCATTACAAAAATTCACTAGCCCGCAGGGCAATTTGCTCACAAATTTTACTTCCCAGCGGCGAGTTCTACCCGATGCGGGCAAGCGGTGTTCGCTTAAATAAACGCTAACCTTGTATAAATTACTTAAATAAAATTTTAATACGTTTTGTGCATTCTGAACTTACAAATCGAGTTAAGAATGTTTAAAATTCATCAAAGATTCCCAAATAGTTTCGTACAATTTACAAAAAGAGATAATTTAATATTCTTTGTGGTCAAACAAAAGTGTATAACAGTTTTGACATTGTCATATATGGTGCATGAGTTACAAAGGACTTGTTAATTTCAATCACTACTTGTTTGTTTCAACGAATTATCATCTTGTTAGATATAATCATGTCAAGTCTAAAGCCAAAATTTTTAAAGCATTTGCTAAAATGATACAGAAAGGATATATCAGTTATAAGAATTATAATTTAAATCTAAGCTGTTTAAGAATATACCTTAGATTCGGACGCCCGGAGTTGTCCTGATAGTTCAATCACCTGCAAAAAATGATAAATTAATTCTTGAATCATCGACATAGGTTTTGATATTGAAGTAAATAGAAGGCATTACAAAAATTCACTTCCCCGCCGGGCAATTTGCTCACAAATTTTACATGCCAGCGGCGATTTCTACCCGATGCGGGCAAGCGGGGTTCGCTTAAATAAACGCTAGCCTTGTATAAATTACTTCAATAAAATTTTAATGCGTTTTGTGCATTCTGAACTTACAAATCGAGTTGCGAATGTTTAAAATTCATCAAAGATTCCCAAATAGTTTCGTACAATTTACAAAAAGAGATAATTTAATATTCTTTGTGGTCAAACAAAAGTGTATAACAGTTTTGTCATTGTCATATATGGTGCATGAGTTACCAAGGACTTGTTAAGTTCATTCTCTCATTTAAATCACTACTTGTTTGTTTCAACGAATTATCATCTTGTTAGATATAATCATGTCAAGTCTAAAGTCAAAATTTTTGTAGCATTTGCTAAAATGAAACAGAAAGGATATATCAGTTATAAGAATCATTATTTAAATCTAAGCTGTTTAAGAAAATACCTGATTTTTGGATTCCTGGAGTTCTCTCGATAGGATTTCCATCTACAAAAATGATTCAGTAAAACTTAAATCATCGACATAGGTTTTGATATTAAAGCAAATAGAAGGCATTACAAAAATTCACTTTCCCGCCGGGCAATTTGCTCGCCAGCGGCGATTTCTACCCGATGCGGACAAGCGGGGTTCGCTTAAATAAACTCTAGCTTGTATAAATTACTTCAATAAAATTTTAATGCGTTTGTGCATTCTGAACTTACAAATCGAGTTGCAAATGTTTAAAATTAATCAAAGATTCCCAAATTGTTTCGTACAATTTACAAAAAGAGATAATTTAATATTTTTTGTGGTCAAACAAAAGTGTATAACAGTTTTGACATTGTCATATATGGTGCATGAGTTACAAAGGACTTGTTAAGTTCATTCTCTCATTTAAATCACTACTTGTTTGTTTCAACGAATTATCATTTGTATGATATAATCTTGACAAGTCTAAAGTCAAAATTTTTGTAGCATTTGCTAAAATGATACAGAAAGGATATATCAGTGATAAGAATTATAATTTAAATCTAAGCTGTTTAAGAAAATACCTGATTTTTGGATTCCTGGAGTTCTCTCGATAGGTTTTCCATCTACAAAAATGATTCAGTAAAACTTAAATCATCGACCTAGGTTTTGAAAGATTGAATATATTGTAACTAGACTACACTAGATCTTGAGAAACAAGATTCAATAGAATTATATGCCCGACGTATGATAAAGAACACTTTTATATATAAGTATTTATGTATAAGTTGATAAAACTGGGACTACGTGGAAACATTCTAAATATTATAAAATCTATGTACACAACAGTTAAAGCAAGGGTAAAATATTGTAATAGATTAAGTGACCCATACGAATGTTTACTTGGTGTAAAACAAGGAGAGTGTTTATCTCCCTTTCTCTTTTCCATGTTTCTGAATGACCTTGAAGATGAATTTATAAAAAGTGATATTGAAGGTATTGATGTTGATATGTTTAAAATGTTCTTAATCTTATATGCTGATGATATTGTAATTCTTGCAAATAGTAAAGACGAACTACAAAAAGGTTTAAATGTTTTAGCAGATTATTGTGATAGATGGAAACTTTCAGTGAACACATCTAAGACGAAAATAATGATATTTAGAAAGGGGGGATACTGCCTAGAAATTTGAATTTTTATTACAAAGAAAATTGTATTGATATAGTTAGCAAATTTACGTATTTAGGGATTGTTTTCACATCAGGGTCCTTTGCAGAAGCTCAAAATACCATTGCTGGACAAGCGTTGAAAGCAATATTTAAAATGAACAAATACCTATATAAATGTGTTAATATTTCTACTTTACACAGATTTGATCTTTTCGATAAACTAGTTAGTCCTATACTCAATTATAGCAGCGAAGTCTGGGGTTTTATACATGGTAATGCAATTGAAAGAGTGCATATGCAATTTTGTAAACGTACGTTAGGTGTTAAAAAAACTCAGAATGATTTTATATATGGTGAACTCGGTAGAATATCTTTCAAGACAATACGATACTATAACATTATTAGATACTGGGTTAAAATATTACATACAAATGAGAATAAATTTGTCAACAAAGTTTATAATTTATTAAAAAATGATTGTAGAAATTACCCAAATAAAACAAATTGGTGTTCATTAGTGAAAAATCTTTTATGTACATTAGGTTTTTATGATGCTTGGTTAATGCAAAGTGTTGGTAATACTGACCTGTTTTTATATTATGTGAAACAACGTTTGAAAGACCAATTTGTACAAAACTGGTCAAGTAGATTAAATAACTCTAGTAGAGCTCTATATTATAGACATATTTCTGTTTTTAAGTTTCAACCATATCTAAATATTATCAATGTTGAACGGTTTTGTAAAGATCTCACTAGGCTAAGAGTATCATCTCATAGATTGCATATAGAAGCGGGTAGATGGACTAAACCAAATAGTACCCCTTTAAATGATAGAAAATGTTTTTCATGTAATGTCTTAGAAGACGAATACCATTTCATATTAGAATGTAATGTATATAATGATTTAAAATACTGGCATATTACTGGAGACGTCTTTATATGCCAAAATCGAATTGTTAAATTCTGAAAACGTATGTACATTACGTAAATTAGTAAAATTTGTAAACAATGCTTTTACACTAAGAAAAAAAAGATTATACACAAATAATTAGTAGTCATTATTGTTAAGTTAATTATATTTTATTTTGTTTTGAATAAGTGAAATTTTTGTGAAATGGGGATAATAATGTCAATAATATATATGTAAATGCATAGTTAAATTATTATGCTTAATAATTTTGAATTAGTGAATGCTTTAGTTTAGAAGATATACATGTCAAGGATATATATTTGTAAATGTATAGCTAAATGATCCTTAAGATTTTGCGTCCTTTTTAAATCGAACCACTCTCTATAGCTAAATTTACTGACTAATAGTTATGTTGTTCTTGTGTTTTGTTTCGGCAAGAACAACATACACGTACTCGAACAAGTATAATATAATTTTATATGATACAGTATATACATCCGAGTTTTTGTCAAATTCATTTAATTTTTAAATTGATTCACGTTCTATACCTAAATTTACCGACAAATGGTTATGTTGTTCTTGTATTTTGATTCGACAAGAACAGCATATACATACTCAAGCAAATATGAATATAAATTTATATGATGCATTATATTATATACATGTATCTTTTCAAATTAATTCAAAACAATGTATGAAGTTCACTTCTCTGTAAGTTTTGCTAGACAGTAGTAATTTATTTAACATTAGGTAAATTTGAATGTCCTTTTGTTCTGATGTTCATTTTAATTGATGATATACAATTTTGTGTATACCTTCTCCATTTACACATGTTATTGTATGTATATGCTTTACACTGTCTTGTCATGTATCATGTATCTGTTTATCCTCATGGACCATTTGGTCTAATGGAATATTGAAAAAAAACTTATATGTTTCATGGCATATTAAACAAAATACCCTCAGAATATAATTATAGTGATACAAAACCCAAACACTGAGCAATGTCAAGTAAAAGATCTACAACTACAGTAGTGAAAAGACGCATATCTATGCCCAAAATAGTAAAGATTACTTCCAAACTTCATTTTCCCGTCACGGCGTCATATGCATATTGCATTAAGGTATGACTATCCTAATGCATTACCTCAACGTTGAAGAGTATTCAAAAAAGCTAGAACTACAGTAAAATACGTTGAAATTTAGGGCTGTGGGTTCAACCCAAAGGCGGGTTAACTTTTTTCTCTTTTTTTCTTTTACATTATGTATGTATATCTCATATCTCTTAACGGAAAAAAGTGTTTAATTTTAATGATTGAATTAATATATGTATTAATTGGCTAAATTATGCCAAATCTAATAACAAATATGGTATCTGATATTGTCAAAGTGATATAAAATTGAAAATTTGACAGTAAAAGTATTTAGTATTTTACAAGATCAACCAATATACTTTTAAAAAAAGAATTAGAGAAACTTTGAAAACAGACACTCATTTCAGTAAATTTTAGGGATTTTTTAATTAGGCTCTAAGTAGGGAAATTGGTCAAACACGTGTTAAAAATGGGTGGGGTAGGGTAATATTTTTTATACATAATTCATATTTTTTGAGAAGAAACAATCTTTCTGCTTATATGGATTGTTAGCTGAATGTAACATTTTGTTTCTTACCAAAGATTAATGGGAAAACATTTTTCAGTTCCTTATAGTTCTCTTTAGGATGGTCATACCTTAAGGCAAATTGTTATATCAATAGGTACTATTTCTGAATATGATTCAAAGCCCCACTCATCACCAAAACTATTCTAAGTAGATAAATAATGATTGCTCCACATTTGTGGTCGACCTACCGATATATGTTATCATATTTTGTCTGTCTTCTAAATTATTGCAATTAATTGATTAACCATTATCATATTACTTTTCGTGACCCTGTTGAAGAGCATTAGTCAGGACCCCTCCACACATACTAGTACACACGCATGCACGCACGCACACACACACATACACACACACGTGACCTTGGGATAGGGGTTCACATAAGATTTCTTTACAGAGAAACCATTCCTTGATCTTAACAACAGCAACTTTAAAATTGACTTTATGGGAAGCAAAGCAATCTCAAGCGAGTTCTCTACATAAACTTTCGAATTACAATATATGTACCATATGCTGGTTTTTGACAAGAAACATTTTTTAAGTAGCAGTTATCTTGACCTTGATTCTAGGGGTCTCAAAAACAATCTCTACCAAGATCATCTCAAAAGTTTGATGTATACCAATTTTGATAACAACATATAATTCATAACTCTAGTTTTCATAACATTTGGAAGTTCTCAATAACTCGAAAAGTGTCACCTAAAATCCATTTGTATTAACGGAGATAAGATCAACTCCGAGGAGTCTATTAGATATTTAGGCGCATTTTTAGAACAAACACTAAATTTCAAGGAACATGTCAAACGAAAGTGCCGTACTGCAATGTTAAAATATCTTAGAATAAAACGTATCCGAAAATACCTCACCAAAGAAGCAGCTGAAATACTAGTTATAGCAATCGTAATGTCACACTTGGATTATTGCAATGTCATTCTTTATGGTGTATCCGATTTTGAATTGAAAAAAATGCAACGTATTCAAAACATGTGCGCTAAGTTAGTTCTGCAACGAAAGAAATTTGACAGTTCAAGGCAAGCACTGTTCGACCTTCACTGGCTGCTCATCAAATCTAGAATCGAATATTAAATTTTGACTTTTGTATACAATTGTTCAATCGGTCATGCTCCAAAATACATTTCTGAACTCCTAACCAAACAAGTACCAAATACCCGACTACGTTCAGCTAAAACCTCTGAGAACTGCTACGTTATTCCATTCAATAAAAGAAAAACATTTAGTGACAGAAGTTTCGGAACTATTGGTCCAAAATTGTGGAATCCGCTGCCATTAGAGTTGAAACAATCTAAGAATATTGATGTATTTAAGAGAAATCTTAAAACACATTTTTTCAGGAAGTTTGAATCACTATTTTAAAATCTGAAATGAGATAAACATGAGTAACGTATAACTGATGACTGACAGTGTGATGAATGTGAAAAATAAATGAATGTTTTATTCTTTTTAATCTATTTGTAATCAAGTTACATGTATGTACATAATCTTATCTCATGCTACATGTATATCAATCAGTTTTATCATTTTATGGTCTCTGCAATTTTTTAAAAATATGTTAATTGGAATTGTATGTAAAAGCTTTTATTTCACTTGATGTTGATCCACATATTCTTATGCATTCACAATTTTATTCTTATTATTTATATGTACTGTACAACGCCGTTGAATATTATTAAATAGAAACAGGCGTTTAATTAAATAAAAAGTTTCAAGTTTCAAGTTTTTGACCAGAAACCCTTTTCCTATTTTTGAAACAGTGACCTTGACCTTAGGGAGGCAAAACGCATTCCAATTTGGCGAGGTCGCTGCATAAGCTGGCTATATACCAAGTTTTATAACAATATCTCATTTCTAACTTTTATCTATTTTTAGTAACAGTGAGGTTGACTAAAACGATCTGTGTGGTCTTTACATAACCAACGAACCGACAACCTCACTCCAATAAACCCCACCATCTCAACTTCTTTTGTGGGATGACTATTATAAATTCCTTGAATTAATTTAGTAATAAACATATTCAAATATTGCCAACACATCAATTACAAGTTTATTTACATCATGTGCATCAGTCTTTACTGTTAAGTAATTCGGATTTGTTAACGTTTTAAATGGCGTCAATATGTTATGCAACTTTACACTAATCATTTTTTCGTTCTTTGCTCTGTTATTGAGATTCTCGTCAAATTAAATCTGGAATTGATATATTGAGACAAATTACAACAATGAAGTAATTTACTATAACTTAGATTTATGACGAGTTTCATTGCAATCTTATCAGCGACTCGTAAAATATGATTTTCCTTTTCATTTAATTTGAACACTTGCCTTCTTAACTGGAAATCTTAAAGTAACATACTTAATTTATATACGAGGAACATTTAATAAGTTATGTTACTAACAGATTTCCGTAGTTTTATCCTCATAGTATTTTAAATCGATTCATTATTTTCGGGAGACATACTGTTTTTGTGTTGATCATCTTTCTGTCCGTCTGGTTGGTCGATCGTCCGAATTAACATTTTCAGGCTTTCACAGGTGGAACTACTGGTAGGATTTCTATAAAACTTCCCAGGAGTGATCGAAATCGTCCCTAGTCGTCGCGCATTACACCGGCACGTTCAGCTTCGCTGCTCAAAACGTCCGTCAGAATTATTAACAGAAAAATCTTATCCAGATTTCTCAGGTCAAACTGCTAGAAGGATTTCAATGGAACTTGAGTGAACAGTAACATCTTTAGTTGTGCATATCACCGGCATATTCGGTTTGCAGCACAAAATGAACGCCATAACTATAAAAAGGAAAAACTTCTTCGGCTTTCACAGGTCGAACTGCTGGCTGGATTTAGAAAATGTTGTCTTGCTATCACTGGTCAAACTGCTGGCGGGATTCCAATAAAAGTTCACAGGAGTGATCGGTTCCATCTTTAGTTGTGTATATTGCCGGCACGGTTGCTTTGCTGTACAAAATGGCCGCCAGAGTTATAAATAGGAACATATTGTCAAGCTTTCATATGTTAAACTGCTGGTGGGATTGAGACAAAACTTCACAGGAGTAATCAGTACCATTCAATGTTTAAGAAAACATATGTTTTTGTGACTAAAACCCCGTTTTTGTTATACTTGAATGAGGCGTTCACGCCCCACTAAACAATGGCTCTTTCAAATTTATGTGATATGTTTATTAAATGAGAGCCCTCGATACTATGCTGGCGTTATCGGCAATGTAAAAGAGCCCTCACAATTGTGATTGAAAAACACAACAATTCATTAAATGTTGTTTTTTATTGTTTATCTAGTTGTTAAATGTTTAATTTGCAGAACATAGTGTCTTTGATTTAGATTTCTATACGTGCGCTCTCTTTTATTAGTTTTCGGCGGTGTTGTGCTTCGAAGATTCATATTTTGATTCAATGTTCATTTTTTACCATGACTATATAGCGTTGCTTTGATTTGGCGCAATTAACTTCGTGCTAAACACCACACTTAAATACTTTAGATACTATAAATGCTTATTAATAAACACTCACCATTTAGTATTTGAAATTACTTTTATAAAAAAAACTGTCGATTTACTAGACTGATTAAATTTAGCCGATTTATCAAAGTAAATGTGTTATGATTTATTTGAAAAAAAAATGCAATTCTATTGGATAAATGGCGGACTATTTGCCGCTGGCGCCAGCACCTTTTCGATGGCTCGCTCTCATTTAAATAAATGTTAGTATTTTATTTCTAACTAGGCTCTTTTTGTGTTTAACCTAAGCTAAGGCACAATATTACATGCAAGATTATGTGGGTCAACTTGAAAAATCACAAGAGATGTGACTCTGCTTGAAAGAAAACACACGGGTTGATGTTTGGTAAAAGCTCAAGCAACCATATTTGGAATTTCATATGGAAAATGCATCCCAAATGATGAGAAAAATATTCTACGTGGCAACGCATTCTTTTTGATTTCAGAAAAACGAGCATGTTCGTCTAAGTCGAAAACTTTTTAGCTCACCTGTCACAAAGTGACATGGTAAGCTTTTGTAATCGCTTTACGTTCGGCGTCCGTCCGTCCGTAGTCCGTCAATAAACCTTTACTTCAAACGACATCTCCTCATAAACCGCTAAGCCAATTTCGTCCAAACTTCACAGGAATGTTTCTTTGGTGGTCATCTTGAAAATATATTTTAATTCCATTCAAAACTCTGGTTGCCATGGCAAGAGAAATCTTAAAATATCTTCTATAAAAAAAAGAGTTAGAGCTTAGATATTTAGAATGAAACATCTTTTAGTGAGTGTCTACTAATTTTGTTCAAATAAAAGTCCCGGGGTCTAAATTGTCCCTACCCTAGGCTGTCATTGATTTTCCTTTTACATGTATTTATATAGTAAAAATAATTCTTTAAGAAAAAAAACAAAGACCTGGCCCTTAGATGTTCACCAGGACAATTTCCTAATGAGTGTCTACCAAGTTTGTTCAAATAAAAACCTAAGAGTTAAAACTGGCCCCGCCCTTGGGGGTCTTTGATTTTCATTATATGTTTATATCAAAAATTTAAAAAATCTTCTTTTAAAAAACCCAAAGTGCAAAAGCTGAGATATTAAGCAAGAAACATCTTCTAGTGAGTGTCTACCAACCTTGTTCAAATAAAAGCCCTTGGGTCAAAATTGGCCCGACCTGGGGGTCTGATTTTCCTTATATATACAGACATTGCTTATACATACAGCATTGTAATAAGAGATCACTCAAGGGACTGCCAAAAAGTGGTCTTTTAATAAAGTGGTATCTTAATAGAATTATGGAAAATTTGAGACTAAATATATAGGTTTTACCTTTTATATACTACAAGTCATAGATATAACATCATCGTTTACAATAACAAAAACTGTACAATATTATGTATGTATTACAGTCTCATAATTAAATATATGCCTTTTTAAAAAAAGTCATCATTATGAGTTTATTTGTTATTTATTTATTATTATTTATTTGTTTGGTTGTTGTTTTTTGGTAGAAATTTGTGTAAAAAATGTGATCTACGGTCAAAATACTATCGATAAAAACATAGGTTATGAAAGGATAAAAATGCCTGTAATGCCAAAAGGCATCAGTACAAGAAGATGTTGTATCTATTTTTTAATCCCCGTGAACTAGTCGATCAAATGCTTTGTCCAGCTAGTCACATAGTCACTAGACAGTTCTACTAGAATTCTTTACTGATAAGTGAATGCGTTTTTCAATAAGAAGCACCCAAGTAAAGGATCGTCAGGAGTCTATTTTATATATTACAATATCTACTCTCACAAAAGAGAGATTGTTAATTCTTTCTTGGTGTCTGAAAATGTTTAAGTTGTAAACCATCCGCCAACTTATCCTGACTTATGTCTCTGCGACTTTTTTTCTGTTTCTGTTAACAGGCTTAAGAAAACACTTTCTTGTAAAAATAAATTCAGGAGTTTTTTTCTCTTGGCAGCTCAATTTACATGTATCAGTGTCTGTGAAAGATTCAAAATAAGATTATTTTTCAACTTTTCGAAATTTTACAGGGAGATAACAAAAATGCATCTTTGTAGTGGGGAATACTTTGGAGGTTTGAAATTGAAAACGCGTTTTATAAATCTTTACAAAATATGAACTCAGTTTTACAGAAACATCGTTAATTCATAATGTCTAACTGCCTAGTTTCATACTAAATTGTATTAAACGTTAATATATCTCAATAATAATTTGTTTGCTTGACACTGCTCAATGTTTGGGCTTTGTATCATTAAATTATTCTGAGGTGCATGTGAACAATATATTAAGAAACCTGTGTCATAATGTGGAAATATTAATCAAATAAATTTGTTTTGTTACTATATGAATTTAATATTGCAGATTTTGACGGCACTTATGATGTAAATTTTCCTATCCACTTATATTTTAAACATATACCAAAATAAGGGTTTGGACAGAAGTTCAGACTTCGGTATTTCATCATTTCCCCCTTACTATTTCGTTTACGTTGATAATATTTGGGCTTAATACAATCTTGAATAGTATATTTGTTATTATGTACAAACACATGAATAATATCAGATACAATATGTAAGTAAAAATTGTAATGCGTTTTGTGGCTTTTGAACAACGTCGAGTTTCGACTGTTTAAAAATCATCAAAAATTCCAACAGAATTTCCTAAAATTTACAAAAAGAAATACATGTAATTCGTTATTCTATGTGGCCAAGAAAAATGTATAACTGTTATTATATCAATCTCCTACGCAGTGATCTCTCCTTATCAATGCAATGATCTCTGACATCACAAACAATTTTATCAATATTTTATATTTTTTAGCTTTTGAATTAATGTTTTCATTATTTTGTATATTTTTGATAATGTTTTGATAAGCTATAACGAACATAGTTACGAAAAGTTAAAAAATAAAACAGAAAGAGAAAAATAACGTTAGATTTTCTATGTAATGTTCGATATTACATTGGAATTAAAAAGTGACTTTCATCATCTTGTGACGTCTGTGAAGGCAATGATTACAATTTGTGAGGAGTTTGTTGTGATATTGCCAGGTGTGGATCATCACTTACAAAAGAAATGTATTAGTACAAGAAGTGAGAGTACAATGCCTGTACATATACATACCTCGTCGCTTGACGCTCTGTCAGCCGTCTAAAAAAGATAGATTATTAAATGAATTATTTAAAAAAATTTAATCGTAATAAACAATGCTAAATAAGTTTAAGTAATAATAATTTAATGCTAAAAATTTTAAGTCAAATAAAGAAACTGAAAAGCAAATACTAGTTGTACTCGCTTAATGCGACATTATAGACTACTAAATTTTTTGCTAAGCACCATAAGTGTCTAACTATATTATGAAATATATAAAAAGGATTCACTTAGTACCTTTGCATAGATTTTTGGCAATGTGTTGAGATGGCATCAAACCTATATGCGCAATAATTCATTAGATGGGCTCGCCATGTGGTCACAGAAACAAAGTACCCTTTATAACCTTATTTACCTTATTTACGAAGGGATGTAAGAAAAATGTAAATTCTTAAGACATGGCCCGTCCTGAATTGAACTTTTGTAGATGCTATAACATAAGGTTTTGGATGCCTAATGCTGTATCTTCTTTCTGAAGAGTATTCATTATTCATTTTCAGTGAAGAGACAGACTTTCGAGATAGGCGTGGGTTCAAACCCAAGAAGATGCAATATTTTTTTCCAATTTTTGTCTTTTTTTCCTTTTAATTTTGTCAGAGTATTATTTTCTTTCTTAATTTATATCTAAAATTTGTATTTAAAAGCAAATTGAAGTTTAATTATATTTTCACATTGAAACGTGTGAAATTGGATAGCATAACGAATTAAATTGATTATAATTGAAAATCAGCATGGTAAACTTTTTTTTATATTTTGCTCAAATGTTAATCTTGAATAGTTTCTAGATAATTATTGTTGAAAATATTTTTGATGCCCCGATTACGCTTGACAAAATCAGACTGTTTTCTTACCCAACCCTGTTCTTATTTGATGTATAATGCTGACAGGTACGAAAGAAGTGAAACTTTTTCTACAGCTATGAAAACACAATTGTTGTTGTTGTTGTTGTTGTTGTTGTTGTTGTTGTTGCGTTGTTATTGTTTTTGTTGTTTAAAACCAATACAAAAGTTGAACATAAATTGTCAATATTTTTAAACAAGATAGTAAACTTTTTATTTTTTGTATCTATGTCTAGAATATAGTGAAGTTTAATAATATAACGTTTTTGAAAAAAGTATCAATTAATAATCTAATACTTAGTAACTTAAGTGAATCATTCGATTAGGTGTTTTTCAAGTGTCTTTAGAGTATTCTATTGGATGTCGATGATAAACAATAGATTTATAAATTAAGGCCTTGTGTATTGGGCAAAACGAAAAGACTTTATCATTGATAAAGTAAATGATTTGTTGTAAGTTGTCAAGAAGAAGTTTAGTAAGTCATCAATTCATGAACATCCATTGTATATGTAAGAGTTGAAAAGGGAGAAAAACTGAAATATCTAGAAGCAAAAAATCTCAAAACCTTTTGTTTAACCTAATGGGGTCTTATAATAAAATCGTAATATTTTGTTTGCGAATTGAAATTTCCATTTGTCATTGTCTTTCTCTGATAATGAAATGAAAATCTTACTTTAAATTGTTGAAATTGGTTGTTGCTTTCCCAATATACTTTTCTTAGTCTGTTTAGCTCTTGCTGGTCTACGCATGTATTCATATCAAACTCAACAGCCTCAATTCTTGATCTTAGAGCGTTCCTTATAACTAGTCCCAACTCATCTTGTTTCCTCGCAAGCTTAAAGAGTTCTCGTTTTTCCAACTGAATAATAGAGACAACATGAAAAATAAAGTCAATGTCTTCAAAAAAGACATCTTAGGTGTTCTCAATCACTAGATGAATGCATTAAAAGCAGATTAAAACTTTGTGATGAACGATTTTTGTTGCAAGGTACATCATCATTATGTTATCAATTACATTCCTTTTAACTTTAACATTAACGTTTATTTTGGTGATGCATTATGAACTAAAATTATGCTCCCGCCATAAAATGGGGCATATAATGTTACCCTGTTCCGTCATTCCGGCCTTCCGTATTCCGTCCTTCCGTCATCATCGGATTCCGTTAATTATATTAGTAACAGTTATACACATTGAACTCAAATTTGACATATGGATATATCATGAGAAAATACAGGTCAAGTTTGAATTTCGTAATGGTTCGATGATTTTTGGCAAAATATGAAATTTTCAGTTTCCATTCATTATGTCCCTAACGGTATTACACATTTAACTCAAATTTGACTTATGGGTACGTCAAAAAATGAGCAGGTCATGTTCAAATTTGGTCATGGTTCGATTATTTTTGGCAGAGTTTGGCCCTTTACTTTGCAAAAAAGGAAATTTTCAGTTTCCGTTCATTATCTCATTTTGAAAACAATCAATCTGAAATAGATTTTTAAATCATATGAACATATCATACAATACAACACGATACCATGGTAAACTAATACTTACATCTGCCAATATGGCAATCGCATTTTGACATTCACTGAATATACTCAGTGTAACAGTCATACGCTGAAATAATTTAGCAAGGTCGTTGTCACTAAATGAGCAATCTCCAGAATGCATCACAACGTTTCTCGCTTTTGTCATCTTTGGAAAAGAATGGTACATATTTTATTATTAAAATACAATTTATCATTTTAATAAATTCATGTGAAAATTAAATCCGCCAAATATTTAAAAGAAAGTCATAATGATTCCATATTGTACATATAACGACGTGTAATACATTTAAGATAAATTGAAGATATAAATTTTAATAGCAACGCCCTTACTTCTTTTTCATGCTCTTCCTCAAATCCACTGAACTGCGGAAATGTACAGTTACGTAGTATCTGAAGTAACAGCACTAGCTCAATCTTGTCAATTTCGTACTCGTTGGCGCTGCCTTTCACTGTTTCATTGTAAGTGTATAGCTTCATAATATCCCAGAAATATTCGTCACAGATTTCATCCACATTCTTTCCCTCCTCGCTGGGAACCTTCATTGTATTAGATGTATTAGGCTCTGGTATCATTGGTAATACCCATTTACGTTTTATTTTTTCATTTTGAGCATGAAACTTTAATAACTTCTTAATTATCTTCTGACATAGTTCATGGTCACAAGTCCATGGAATCATTTCTTTTTTATTTTTCGGAGACCCTGATAAGTGGTATACATTGTCTTTCTTTAAACAGTCCGAAAATGTTTTAAAATGATATATTTCTTCCTTGGGGAATTCGAGCAAATGCTGCTTTGCACCTAACTCAATCGGTTTTCTTAGAGCTTTTCTTGTAATATTTAAACCCATTACGCACTTCGTCCAGTTTTCAAATGTATGTGGATCGGTGATGCCTGGGAGTGGCATATGTACATCCTGAAATTTCAATGTAACTGTTTGACTATAAAAATTAGAATGTGAGACAATAATAGTGGTAAACACATGTTCTTTCAAACAAATATTATGCGATAGTAATATCGCCGCAACTACATACCCAATGAATGTCATGATTGTAATCAGTAATTGCAATTTTTGAAAACGTTTGATGTTTTCGCGTGAAAATTTCGTGGAAACATATAATTTTCAAAGATGTCAACAAAGATAAAAAGAATTACCTGAGGACATGATTATCGACGTTCCCTATATTCTTATTTTAAGTGGCTCTGTCCTCTATGACCCCAATATTAATAGGAGTAATCTACTGGTCATGGATATTCTCCTCCACTAAAATAATATTCGGACTGTAGACCCATGGTGTTTATGAGCAAAAAGTTTTTAAACTATTTATACATAAGGGGAACCCATAACCACTCTCAACCATCTTAGTAGAGACTAACTAGGCAATGTTAAATGCTACTTTTTAAGCTTGGCCTTAATAGGAAAGGATTTTTGAAAGTTTCACTGTATACAAATCAACAAAATTAATTCAGTAACCTTTTAAGAGTTCCACTCTACAACTCACTGCCCCCCCCCCAACCCCCTTAGGTAAGGCCAATGTGGACAATATGGTAGTTTTCAACATGGCAGATACAGGCATGGTCTAGAAGCAGAACATTGCTAAACTTAATTGTGCGAGATATAGACAAACTTGAATATGTACGGAACAACGGTTTTTAACTTAAAATCGCATTCATTTTTGATAAACAAATATTAATTAATGCGATTCAAAAATTTTGTTGTTTATGCTTCAATAAATTGTTGAATGTAATGTTTGTTCATGGTTTTTATCTGTTTGTGTTTAAAGGTTTAGGGTGTGTATGTTCAATAATACAGTACAATGGAGATCCTTTCAGTTCAGTGGATTTAATTTCAGCGAATTTCAGTAAAGTCTATTTCAATGTGACGGAATTCACTTCAATGGAATTATTATCAAAGTCTCAGCTGATTTATATAAGTAAATGTACAATTCAGTTGTTCACCATTCTCCAAATGACTTACATTCTGTATACGTCTCTTAAATAAAATAATAATCAACAATTTTTTTCCGGATGCGGGGCCATTTTTGACCCAAAGACAAGCACATCAATAGTGTCGTACTTATCGATCGGAAAAATATGATCTGTGAGTATGCTAGGCGACTTTTTATGGCCTTTATGGAGTAGATGTTACACTGATAAAGCGATAATAATAGAAAAAAGAATCACTGAAAAACTTTCAAAACGACGAAGGTTCGGTTAGATCTAGCCTGTTCATGGATGAGACTCGAAAATGCAATCTCCCGCCCACGTCCCTAGCAACGTCATAATTCAAAATTTTACATGGAATTCGCAGAATGTGACAAGTTGGTGCCATTCCATGAAAAGCGACTTTCGTTCCCAAGTAAAAGAAAGTGTGTAAACCTTTCATAAACGCAAAGAAAATCCATGAACTCCTTTGCAAGTTCAATTTCATCCTATAGATGTCGTTTGAACAACTTGGTGGAGGACCTCAAGATAATAAAACATACCAATAACCAAAGTCTTGCATCTTATACCTTAAGAGAAGCTATTTAGTCATGTCCCGCAAGGTATTCAAAGCTAACAGGATAGTAACACTTAAACAGGAGTAAATTCTTACAAACGAAAAATAATTATCTTAGACTCAATATACTCATTTTATTACATTAAGATGTATGCTAGCATATCATTACACGTAACAATTAATAAGCATTTATATATTAAAGATATGCTTTGCTAACATTCGATATTAGAAAATATTGATTATTGCTGCACAGTATCTTTGTAAAAATTAAATTAACTTCAGACAAAGTAGATATGTCATGTTAAAAATTTCACACATTATAGCTGGTCACAATCTCATTTCAAAAACTTTTTAAAGAAAAGATCAACTTAACTCGACCTGTAATTGGGAATACAGCTTCCTATACATATTTTATTCATTCTTTTATTCAAATTATACATATTCAATAAGAATTACATAGATTTCAAAGAATTTCTGTGATTCAAGGATGACCAAAGCATATCTTTAACATTAAAAGAGTTCAAATGTGAAAGAAAAGTTTTATCGTTATAATACCACCTGATAATTACACACAAATCTGTCCATATTTTACAGTTCATTTAGTCATCTCTTTTTAAGACGTTTTAACAGTCATATAGACATGTACGCAAAATCAAAACTGACCAATAGAATTTCTTAAAACTTGGTGTGTTTGATAGAATATCACAGAAATGTTTAAAGCAAAACTATTAGGGTTGCCATTTTAGTTTTTTAGTGATCTGTCCCTGAATTTGACTTCTGATAAATTCAATTGGGAATATTAATTATGTGTCATTTTCTTATTTTGATGTAGCCTACTTAGGTTTTTGTCATTGTTCAAATTTTCAAGAACGATTAAATGGCAAATTGTTAGGGTTTTCTCTTTCTTCCTGAAATCTATACCTTTGTTTTGTAAACTTCGCCTATCTTTAAACAACTTTAAGCCCCCCTTTATTGAAAATAATAAATTGTAACAGAAATGATTAATGAAATTGCATGTACAATGTAATTATGTGTTGTGGGTATGTATCAACAATAGAAAGAAGGGCATAATCTAGAAGTACAGACATATGTATAAATTATCTGCCCTTGAAATGACCTCAAATAAGTAAATGATTCTGATTCAATGGCAACTCGGTGACATATTTTTTTCCGCTTGAAATATTTATGTCATCATATTCATACAACATGCCAAGTTTTAAGAAATTCTTTAGAACGTTTTTTTTCTGCCTATATGAAAACTCCCGAAAACGTCCTTGAGCGAAAAGGTCCATGCATTCGACACTTATGTAATACTGACTAAATTATTACAAAGATATAATTCAATTGAAGGGGTCAGTGCAACAAGGTACCTAACTACAATTTTGGGTGAAATTGAGTTAGGACCTTTGTGATTTAAAGAACGTTATTTGGAATTAGAATAACCTCCCTTTGTTACTCATTTCTTTGTTTTTAAGGTGAAAATGGTTCTTGGAGGAACTTTACAAAGGTCCTAACTCCAGAGGTGGAGTTGGTACCTTTGTTACATTAAATCTATCCAATTTTTCCTGTTTTGAGGCGAAAAAAATATATGAAAATGTGATTATATTTTGATTTTATGTCAAAATGTGCATGGAAATTTACAACAACAATGTTTTCTTCTATGTTTTGTCCAATTAATTTGCATAAATGTTCATTTGTGTGAAAATTATTACAAATATTATTATGTGAATTTTGTGTTCATGGAAATAGAACCTTTGTTGCACATATACCATATCATCCCTTTTTAAAATTTTGCATGAAGACATTTAGGTCTTAAAGAAATTGTTTAGAGATTTTCTATACATGTATATCACCATGAAATTTATTGTTTAAGAGGAAATGTTTAAATCTGAGCATTTAGGATGCTTTAGGTACTTGATGTTAATTGTATAAATATTTTACATTTTAGCGACAAAGGCATGTTCTGGTAGCTTTTGTTTTATTTTTCGAGACCATATTCTGAGATATTGAAACTATACAGCTAAAGCTGATGTATTTTATAATATTTGTAACTTGGGTTATTTAAATGTAGTCGTCTAGTGAAAAAACGTTTGATACAGTTCCTTCACACAATATTTTTGAAATACATGTAATTATATTCTGAATTATTGAAAACAAAACTTTTATTCGTAGGAAAGGTTCTTTTATATTTGAAATGGCTTGAAAGTTAAAGTTTTGTTTCTTTCTATGAAGAATATAAGTTTAAAACTAATTTCTTTTTGTTTCCTGTAGTCAGTCAATAAATAAATTAGTTAATTAATCAAATATTCATCAATTTATTATCTAAAGGATGTGTAACAAATACAAAGTATACAATTGATGATTTGTTTGATACGCCTTAAGTTTTTTTAAGCTTAATATAATGTGCAATTAGGGGTTACATGATAACCTTTAAGTTGACTGAAAAGTTGAAAGATATGTAAATTTTAAGCTCAAATACTTTATGCAATTGTTTTAAAAGTTACAAAGTAACTCCATAGGATTTAGAACCGTTTTTGCATAAGTACATTTGATAAAAATAACTTTTCTTTCAATAAAATGGTTAAAAATGGTGTAAAACATATAACTTTGGTTTCAAATGTTCTTTTTATTAATAACATTACTTATTAGTGAATTAATTTTAAAATATTTCAATTAAAACTAAAATTTCATAAAATGACCTTTTTCTCAAAATAATGTTAAATAACGTTAGGTACCATCTTGCACTGACCCCTTCAATTTTAAACATAATTGCTTTGTATTCTAGAATAAAACGTTGTTTTACCTGTTCAAAAGCCGATTCCATTTTAGATTTCTGCAAGTATATGATATTATATGATATTCCGGACACGTAAGTCTTATTTCACTTCGAGACAGTTGGTTATACTGCAAGTAATCCTGAAATTTAATTAAATATCAAAGTAAGTTGCTATCATTATTTGAGACAAAATACACATTGTATGAATAAATGACATTTTACATTATCAAAATTTGTTTAATAGATCATAAAGCTATAAAAATACATTTGATCATGGTCGACTTATAATGACTATAACTTTCTATATAATTTCATGATACACTCCGTAAATTTATCTTATCTTATTGATTTCTGTTCTTTTTTCACTGTTTATGAGTTGAGAGAATTTTGAAATATAAGAGCCAGGCAAATAGTAATTGAACTGTCCGTCCGGATGTCTGTCCATAATCTATGAGCTTCATTCCGTCCAGAACTTTAGTTAAAAAAGGAGAAAATCTCATTCCGCCTTTATTTCTAAAAAGATTGTTAAAACTGTCATGTCTACACCTTTACAGTTGTAACCTTATTCTATTTACATATGTCTTTTATATTTGCTGGGAACATAACAAAGTCTTCTACCAATTAATCGAATTAGGAGTTAGCTTGGTAAAGGACACCCGTACACTTTTGCCCTCACAGCCTTTATTCACTGACAGATGTCTTTCGTGTTTGATAAGGAAGATAAATTGCATGGAATTCTTCCTTTTGATTGCGTCAAAGGGTCAAGGTCAAGAGTGTCAATAATTAATTTCTAGGAATTTGCTTTCACAGCCTTTATCTTTTGACTGATATTTTAACCAGGTTTTCCAAAGAAGAAGAGTAGATAGGCGGGGGCGTGGGCTGTCTGACGTAAACAATATCTCCCGTATCACAGACTCTTGGGGTGTGGAGCTTAAAACGCCATTAAAAACCAAATAAAATGTATATGTGTCAATCCCAGCACATGTACTGATCATATAAATAAACAAGAACGTGTTTGTTAAACACATATGCCCCCCGGTCCGATTCTCAGTTATGGACAGAAAAATTGCCAAAAAATTGTAAACACAAGTTATATAGCTTGACAAAGTCATGGCATTTTGTAACTGTGAAAAATATACGTTGCCAAGTCATTGCTTTGACTTGTGAAGTTGAAAAATATTCAACTTCATGCAAGTTATCTTCCTACCAAATATGAAAATCATCTGTCATTAAATAAAGGCTTTTTGGGCAAAAGTGTAAAAAACTATTTTGAGCACTGGTGACCTTTACCAAACTGACCCCTAACTCTATCCAAAAGAAGAATACCATGTAAGTTATCTTCCTACCAAATATGAAATACATCTGTCAATAAATAAAAGCTGTATCCTTACCCCAATCAAAAGGATGAATACCATGCAAGTTATCTTCCTCCAAAATATAAAATATACCTGTCACTTAATAAAGGCTGAATGAGCAAATGTGTAAAAATCTAATTTTAGCACTGGTGACCTTGACCCAACTGACAACTAACTCCATCAAAGTTTATGTTTCTATCAATTATAAATAACATCTGTCTATAGAATAAGGTCAATACACCTGTGAAAATGTAATAATCTATTTTTAATATTGGTGACCTTGACATTGGTAACATTGACCTTGAACCAAATGACCCCTTACTACACCCAAAAAAGGAGGACCTCCCTTGGCATGTTTGTTTTAAACTAAGACATCAACTAAATATAAAGGCTGTATGAGCAAAATGTTTATTATCTATTTTTTAACCCAGTGACATTGACCTTGACCCTAGAGACCGCTTACTCAACAAAAAATTAGAGGACCGTCAAAGGTATACACCTACAAAATGTGAAAGATATCATTAAAAAAATATGCAATTGGGAGAAATTTAAGATAAATCAAACTTGCCTAAATAGGTTAACCAGACAAGGCCCTATTTCAAAGTGAAAAAGGGAAATAACTGGGAAATAGGAAATATGGATGACACAGTTATTTAACTTGGCAATATCATGTATTGATAAGTAATTGTGGAATTTATAAAGCCATTAGTATAGATAGAACTTAATATATTTCCAGCTTACCGTTTTAGGTTAACCATTATTCAAGTAATGTAACTTGCTCAGATCATGTATTTTGTATTGATTAGTAAGTGTGTAAACTTAGAAGCCATTGGTACAGATAGAACTTAAGAAAAATCCAACTTGCCGTTCTAGGATAACCTCGTACGGACAGACGGACGGACGGACAGACGGACGGACGGTTCAATTACTATATGCCCGGGGGCATAAAAACTCAATATAAGCCGTTTTTAAAAAATTCATATTTCAACGTCTATAATAACATACAAGATAAAATGTTCGCCCGAAAAAAATCCGCACACCTACCGTCGACATCACCATGTATTTTATTCCATTTATAATCCTTTAGTCCATCGACACAGAAGATAGAATTCTTCACAATGATGGTCAATTTTAAACTTCAACGGTAATATAAACAACGCAACAGCCGAAATAAACATCAATATTATCGCCATTTACAAAATTTTTCCATAAATTCAAACGTGGCCCCAGATTTGACGTGTGCAAAATGCGCTGCGATTTGAAGATGGGAACCAGTCGACTACGGGCGGAGCAATTCGGTAATAACTTGGTTCCCATACTTCAAAGCGGGCGTTTTTGTACACGGCAAAGCTGGGGACACGTTTGAATTTATTGAAAGATTTGGCAAATGGAGTTAAACGGCGATGATATTGATGTTTATTTCGGCTGTTGTGTTGTTTATATTACCGTTGAAGTTTAAAATTGACCATCATCGTGAAGAATTATAGCGTGAACGTGAAACGTAGGGGTCTGAGAGAGAACAGCTGATTTATAAAACATCGTTTGGAACTAACTATCAATCGGCAACTTTTTTGATAATCATACAGCATGCAATTTAAAGCACTTGAAAGTGAATTCATTTACGGAGGGAGCCGTGTCAGAGACTTTTGTTTGCTCTGCGACTTAATTATTGAAATTATGTAATATGTATGGTGAAAAAGATGCATAAAATATTTGTCGTTACGTATCACGCAGAGTGTCTATTGGTGGGGCATTTACAATTTAAAATTACAATTAGATGAAAACATTACTCATACTGATAAATTTTCTATCTTGAATGTAAATAAGTTTATGGGTCTGAGTGATTCAAATACAAAGTTTACTAAGTTATTGCCAAGGTATCAATACATGAAAAGTGTGCAGAGGGTACATGCTTGTAGTGATATCAAACACATGATATGGTACAAAACATTAGTTTTCAAAACTCCTAGGCAGCCACAAGAGGCATACCTCGGCTTATTTTGAGTATACGCCAAGTTGGCCGAAGGGTCGCAATATACTTATACCAAATATCACACTAGCCATAGCTTTCGCAAAAGCGGTAGGTCCTTAATTGAATAGCCTGCGCATCGGTAAAAATTTCATTTCGTAGGTGCATCAAGGTCAGATTTCATGACTTCTAGTTTCCGCCGGGAATTGGTTCTTCTTCAGTCCGGGTTTTCAAAGGAAATATAAATATAACGATAATGCACTATGTATGTTCTTACTTCACTGTGCTTTTCAACTCGACACTACAAGAATTAACTTACAATCGGCCATTTTTTATCCAATGCTCCTGCGACAAATAAGTATACTCAACGCCGCTGCGACGCGAAAGCAATGGCCAGTTTGAATATAGCTATGTGCTATAACCAGGGATTTAGGGGATATTTAAGCGACGAAATGTCATTTCAATGTACAACTGTTGTTTTTATACTCATTAAATTAACATGAAGTACATGTATTGAATGTAAGCGAAGTAAGTACAAAGACTTACGTGGACATTGTTTTAAATACTTCAAATGTTATTTACTTTTACAAAAAAAAAAACATTGCCAGATGTCTCTACTGTAATCAAGATGGGTTTATTTTCCATTTTAAACAAACATATTTTTTCTTTGTTATTTTCTTTTGTTTCATCATAACTTAACATGAGATATAATCAACGAAAATTCTATATGTTAATAATACAAACACAATAGCTTAAATGTTTCAGTCTGACAATAAGTTTTTGTACTAACAGCTGAATGTAGTATCGCGCGATCATTTAGGTCCCTCCAAATATTTTTCAATGCGTATGATGTCAATGTTTAAGAAAATATTACTGCCTTTTTTCTCAACTTTACTCTTTCAATTCAATTTTCATTCGAAATAGTTAAGCTATTTCATCAGTCGTTAAATACTTATGCACATAAAAGTGTGTTGGTATTAAAAGACTCGCCAACTCGTTATCTAAAGTCGGCGAAAATAAAAGAATTTGGACATTACCATTTCGTTGTATATTTATCTATGTTTAATATGTTTAGATGAGACTATGTATTATAAATAATATAGGCCATTGTTTGCAGAAGTATGCAACTAATATCTTTAGTCATAAAATCAGACAGCAGAATCACCTTCCTATAGTAAGGAGCCTCTAAAGTGGTATTTTCTACACTTGTTCCGGGACTTAATTCGTTTTAACGAAATATAAATTTGTGAATACGAAATATGAATTCGTAATTACGAAATATTAATTTGTAATGGCGAAATAATAATTCGTTTTTACGAAATATTGTTTTGTAATTGCGAAATATTAATTCGTTTTTACGAAATATTATTTTGTAATTACGAAATATAAATTTGTAAAAACGAACGGTGCCCATACATAAATTGTAAGGACATATACTTTAAGTGAAAATCTGCAGACCAGCCCCTTTAAGGTTTACTTATATGTATGATTAAAGAAAGTAATTATATCCTTTTAAACAGAAACATGTCAGAAAAGATTAATTGTCTCAAAAAAAAAAAAAAAAAAAAAAAGGTTTTTGCCAGTTGTTGGAAAAATGTATTTGAAAATGGGGAAAAAGGATATATTGGATTGGGAATGACTTCTCACTCAAAAACTATGTTCACTCAAATATAATAACTTGAGAACTATTAGGCCTATAATAGTTATACTTTGTTGCAAGGTTGTAAATGATCCCTTTTGGTTGTGAGGTTAGTAGGTTCCTTTGTTAAGCTCACAATGACTTTCAATCATATTTCGTAAAAACGAATAAGTATTTCGTAAAGACGAATAAACATTTCGTAATAATGAATTAATATTTCGTTATTACGAATTACTATTTATTTATTACGAATTAATATTTCGTGAAAACGAATTAATATTTCCTGATAAATATTATATTTTGTAAATATTCTTTTTTTTAATTTTAACGGTCAAATAAACAATACTCGAGTTCGATTGAAATGATTCGCTGAAAATATCTGAGTCATAGGGCCCAAACTATTCTACACAATTTGAAATGAAAAATAAGATGAATAAATGTTTCTAACTTAGAAATAATAAAATGACTTTTAACTCCATGTACAAGGTAAAATATAATCAAAGGGCTGCAAGCTCTGTGGAATTTTCTGATCTTTGCAATCTAAATCGTACAGTTTCTGTATGTATTTTCTTGTATAAGTATATTTTGGTAAAGTATAATTCATCTTGCAGGGCACCGAGTTGCAGCGAATGCGTTTAAATTTTTGCTATAATAGTTTGAGTTTGATACATATGGATTTTTGCATTATGATATCATTTATGTACATTTTTATGACAGCCACAGTTTATCCTTGTATATCGTGGCTTATTCCTTAAAAATGATGTTAAAATCGCTAAAAACACTTTAAAAAGAAAAAAAGATAAATTTTCAAATAAATTGTTTATATCATATTGTTACATTGTCACTCCATGGCTCTGTAGAAAGGCCGACCATTTGATTTTCTGAGTTTAACCTTTTACCTCATAAAGACGTTTTTGACGGCTTTTTGCTCCCTCACCCCCACCTTTTTGGGGTCTCAATCAGTGAAAAATGCCCTATTTAGGCCACAAACACTGTTTTTCGTTTGAAAAGTGTATCACATATTATGAAACACCCTGTACATGAGACTTGTATTACAAACAAACAAATGCGGAAGAAAAATGGGACAATTAAATACGCAGTTTGTAAGGGTATTTGTTTATACGAAACTTGTTCGATAAACAGCTTAAACAATTAAAAATTGACAATCACTAAATAAATGATATATAAATACATAAATTAATTAACTTATGAAATTAGTTTTATAAATAGGTAAAAATTAAAGCGTAATAAACTGTTGCTGCATCAATCGGAAACAGCAGGACATTCTCCACACATAAGTATGGGAAAGAGATAGTAATATAGTACAGATGTTTGCCCAAGGCATTTGTAATTATTGATGCATACTTTCTCATTTAAACTTCTTAACATGTTATATTATGCCACTACGCACTCAAAGGCTAGATATAGTTCTTAAATGGTATCTAAACGAAGACAAAAGACAGAAAAAAAAATCAAAATTTCAACTTACATGAAAATGGCGTCTGATCTGTATCGTATACGTTTCCGTGAAGTATCATGCATGCGCAATAGTTCGGCCATTTTCGTTATACTTCGGCTTCGTAGGCAGCCAATGATCATCCAGTCGTATCTTTTTTTCGAAAGTTTAAAATTACATATAAAGAATAAAAGTCACGGTATATTCTCACGTATGCACAATGACGATGTGCAAAATAACACACAATCTACACGGTGTATATTGATATCGATACCCTTGTACCAGGCTCTACTTTGTGTAATTCGTACGTTTTGTTTTCACATAGAAAAGTTTTCTAAATAATTTTACCGTATAGTGGAATTAAGAATATACAAGTCAAATGAACAACAACAAGTTGTTTAGTTCAAACTATAGATTTAATTGTGTGAATGAATAAATAATATTTATAGAACGTATGTTATCTAATTAGGATTACGTCAAATTAATATTACTTAAGTTTATTGCGATATCTAAATAATTACTAGATCTGATATTAATTTTGCAATAAGCATTAATAAAATGATGAGAAATAAATTCTTAAATAATAATGAAGCACTAAGGCTTCGAAGGAGTACCGGTAGGCCGATACAAAATTGAATATATAGAAATACAACGTGTAAACATCACGTGACCAAATAAACAATTAAACATTGGATTAATATAGAATGAAATAACCATTGAATGAAGCCGTAAAGATTAACTTAGGCATGGACGACAAAAGGGCTGCGCACATGAAATAACAATAATTGAATGCAGCGTAAATAAAAACAAAAAATAATTTAATTTAAGGTGACAACGTAGTCAATTATCACTGAAAATACCTAAAATGAGATTTTTTGCTTAGTAGATTCACGGATTTAAATTACAGGGATCGGACACTCCTAGTAAACCTATATAAAACGTTAAAATATCTTGTCGCGCGTGTTCCTGTACACTCGATATCGGGAAACCGATCAATAATTTTTAGTTTATCGGAGTTAAGCGTAAAATACCTTCGCTAAACTGATACCTTCTCTACAAAAAGTCTTGTTGTCGTTCCATTTATTATCCGATTTTGAAAATTAAAAGACACATTTTAAGAAAATTGATTTTATATTGCAAATATCTATTTTTATTGAAAAAAATATATACTCTCTGTCCATACCGACGATTAAGAAATTGAAAACGACGAAAACTCGGAGTAATTTACCGTTAACTTTTCGGGGTGCGCAATTGATACTTACAGTACAAAAAGTCTTGCTGCTTTACCATTTATTATCCGATTTTGAAAATAAAAAGACACATTTTCAGAAAATCGGCCCCTTATTGCAAATATCTATTTCTATTGAAAAAAATATATACTCTCTGTCCATACCGACGATTAAGAAATTGAAAACGACGAAAACCCGGAGTAATTTACCGTTAACTTTTCGGGGTGCGAAATTGATACTTACAGTACAAAAAGTCTTGCTGCTTTAACATTTATTATCCGATTTTGAAAATTAAAAGGAACATTTTGAGAAAATCGGCCCCTAATTGCAATCATCTATTTTTATCTTAAAAAATATATATGTTCTGTCCATACCAACGATTAAGAAATTAAATACGACGAAAACTCGGAGTAGTTAACCGTTAACTTTCCGGGGTGCGAAATTGATACCTACAGTACAAAAAGTATTGTTGGCGTATCATTTATTATCCAATTTTGGAAATTTGTTGATTATATTTTGAGAAAATTTATTTTTTATTACAAATATAGGTGTCAATTAGATAATAATAATATATATATATGTATATATATAATTAGCCCGTCTCCGTTCATACCGACGATTAAGACAAAGCCGTGTACAAACGGTTAAAATCTTCTTTTTTTTTCAAACACAACATTAAACTTGATTTACGGATATTTAAAAAATACCATTTCAGACTATTCCACGGCTTCTATTATTTAATGAGCGAAGTTGAAGTTGCTTTTATTAAGGGATGTACGAGTAATAGTTGGATTTGTACTTTCCAGATGCAGTTATTTTCTGTAATATCGTAGAACAATTCAACTATACATGTATTGTTTTTTTTTTTGGTAAGCACGGGCGTTTACTTGACTTTTTTTCAATAATATTTTAAATACAAAAACAGGCCCTATTATTTTTTTTGGAAGTCATTATAACATTTTTGGGATAATTGATATTGATACAGACATTCACAGTTTGAATCGGTATTAAGCGGTCGTTTTTTATCTGGTAAGTGTAAATTATTCATAAACACCTCATTAAAATTAACGTGCCTAAAACTTTTTAATTAAAGAATAAATTTCTTTGAAGTTTCTTGATTAAAGAAGGAACGTTAAAATTCAGGTAGTAAGTGTTAATAACAGTACTTAAGTATCAATGCTATTACCAGCACAATTTTGTGTTCTATATTTATATATTCATTGGGAGGACATACATACAATATGAAACAGTAGATTTTTTTAATACATTTATTTACATACTTGAACACATTTTTAATTTCTTTCAATTATATATGTAATTATTCATACAAATGTATGAATTTCAAGTCATTTGAAGATTTCATGTATGTGAAATTGTCATTTGTTATATGCCTTTTTACAGTTCTCACGGAATTCACTAAAATATCCTTAATGATTCATTTTCCACAAACTCATTCAAGATCAGTATCTGGACAATTTCTGTAAGGCTTGTCAAGAATAACAAAAAACTCGTCAGCATGACATCCATCACTGTCAAAGCACTCAACTCTTTCTAGAGGTGTTTCATAACTTTTTGTAGTACCATCCTTAACGAAGAATGTGTCACCAAGCGATTTTGATAAGGTCTTCCGCCAGAACATCTGCTGACAAATGTTGCTTATGTTGCTTCCGTGGTTTCTTGCTTTATTCTTCTACCAATTTGTCCTTTTTTTCTTGTCATGATTGTATGTTGATATATCACCAAATGACTGTACCAGGATCAATAATCTGAAAATATATATAAAATACCCATAAAATTTAATACATACAAATCAAATATTGAGAAATATTGATGAAGTAAAATTAGTTTTTTCACTTTTAAAAATATTTTTTTCCGCAGTGAAACATATTTTCACTTGTGTCTTGCAGGAATGTTTTCTTCTAAATTCAGTCGATATTTATTTGCTTTGCTGCAGCCCATTTATTTCAAGATTTTGAACACAACTTCTGAGTCAGACAATAACACAAATGAGTTTGTTTGACAACCCTGTTGACAACTGATTTTGCTGTCCCTGATTGTGTTTCAGATTTATATGCAAAATACATGTACAGCAACCAAAGCATCACTCATGCAATCTGTAATATTTATATCCCAGCTCAAATTAATTTAATGCTGGTCATATACTTATCATTTAAATGAAAAATTCAAGACTTCACTCCTATTTTTTCAAGTAAATTTTGTCCAGGATTTCTACATGAATTTTGAGTGTTATTGAATCCTCCATGACCTTCAGGAAAAGGGTAAAACTTAAGTTATATGAACAGAATATTAACAATTAACTTAGATGAAATAAATTAAAAATAGACAAATTTCAAACTAAAATTACCAAGGAAGTTTGTAAGTAATTCCCTAATTTTTACTTCTGTTGCACTAATCACACAATGGTGATAATAATAAGAACGAATTTTTGAACAACAACAGTTTTCCCTTCTATGAAATGGGAAGCAAATTTCGAAGATTTTTTTTTTTATTTATGGCGGCCATCTTTGAACGAGGGGTGATTTAAACTAATTGTTGCGGTATTCTACAGCCATATTCTAAGAAAACCATTTATCTGACTGCACAAATCAATACTATGTTAGTAATAAACATTACAATTTAAACATAAAATAATTCGTTGTTTCGTCATATTTTGGGCAGCAAAATCAGCTTATTTTCGTTCGTGTTCATCGCCATCTTGAATAATTTTACCGTTCCGATAAGCAAATCACAATACTGAGTTTCACGCAGTTTGATTGTTTTAGGAGCTAAATAAAATAAATACTTAATGTAAACATATTCAATAATACTTACTTGACAAATAGTGTGTACCAAAGTTGTATAAACAACGCAATCAACAGCAAAAACCGAGTTTTTTTATCAAATGTTTACACATGACATCCACGGTCTACGCCATTATTTCATCTTCTTCCGGTGAGAAGATCTCGCGCATGCGCGCGGCCCGATTTAAAGCCCCATCGGAAGTGTCCGATCCTTGTAATTTAAATCCGTGGTAGATTTATCAACCTTTTCTGAACACATTCGTGATTTAATTTTGGAAGCAGCTAGTCCAAAAAATGTGTTTTTAAACGTTTTAAAACGGTACCTGTACCATTTTTATCTGCTATTGGCGTAACCTGTCAATTATCGATAACGCTCCGCCCCCTGTTTAGGCATCAATGAGGGAAATCGGTAGTTCCACATATGCGTGAATTACCGATCCATACTGGTCCATACTTCTCGTAATTCATGTATCGTACATCTTTTATGAATATCGTCTACCTTTTATTTAGCCTTTTTTATAAAATAGGAAATTATCGGCCAATGTACGTAACATAATGTATGAAACATAAATAATTAAGCATAGCCGCAAATCGCACGACCACGGGGTTGATTAGAAATATAGTTGCTAAAATATCCATAATGTGTGAAAATAATTTGTCTGTTTCGTTAATCTGATAGATATTACATTGAGTTTATGGATTTTTTTTACGGATTCAAGGACTTGCTTTACATTCAACCTCGTTTTCTAACATTGTCAAGTAAAACAACAACAAAAAACAGACAACATTTTTATGTGAACGCCTATATGACTTGTGGTAAGTGTCCCTGACAAATTTCTAAACCATTTTAGGTTGTCTAAGGATGATTATTTCTCTACGAATCAATAAAAAAAGATAATAAAATATATTATCAGTGAATGCTTTGAATAAATTGTTCGCCAGTAAATCGAACACAGTACTAATAAACCTAAGACAAAGTATGGAATTTATTGTATATCCCAGTAGAAACTGGATCTCTATGTAGTGCATAGATGATACGTGTATTCATGATAAT